AACACTGAATAATCAGTAATTTAATTTATTTAATTTATTTTAGATGTAGATTATATACTATGTATAACTTGAATTATACACCAACAACTTTGGGGGTACAAAGTTGAAGAGAAATTATATCTGGGGGTACGCGAACAAAAAAGGTTGAATACCACTGGTCTAAAACACATACGTCTAAGAATTCAATACCTGGATGTTTGAAATAAGCAAAATAAACAAACAAACAAACAAGCAAGTAAAATACGAATTCAAGAATTAGAACTAAAACGCCTTAAATTACGTCTTACACTTTCGTTATATTAGGGACAGACATCTGATCGTCACACACGTATTTTTCATACAGCTGGGCGTTCTGTACACTGATCATGTAAGCTGAATACCCCATAGGAATACTAACCCCGGCCATCCACGCGGAGCACCTCCGAGAAAAAGCGACATACAGACACAGAGGGGCCCACAAGGCGTTCTTCGCGCACGCTAGACTGTGACAATAACAGTGAGAACCTGTGACATGAACACCAAATACCAAAAGTCGTGTTATCAAATATACTTCAGACAATGAACATGTTCGGTAATTAGCATAATGAATAACCCCACGAACCACTAATTGCTAAGAATCGAACTGTAAAGTTTATAAAACACGTATATAATAGCAATACGAGTAAGATCTAATTCTTTTTCGCCCTTAACTATATCCTGCCCTTGAAGAATACACATTACCTGCAAAAAAACATGGTTTTAATTAAGACAAACCCCGGTAATGTAAACTTCACATTTAACATCTGGCTTTATGATCCGCTTTGTGCTTCAATCCTATTCTTAATTCAAATCATATACTCCGTTTCGCTCTCATGTACGCCATCGTAATTGTCACGTATTGTGATGATGATGGGGGTGGACTGAAGTGTGCGTAGAGATGCAATACCATATATAGGACATGAACCAAGGCCAAACTAGGCCATGGTGACTTAATTCCTACCACAACAGCAAAATATACGATTATGTGCACAATTAGATCACTGCATGGGTGACCTGACATTGCAACACACATTAACTGCCTGGCGCCTTGAAAGTTACTTCTTGTCTCACTCTATAACTCACGATTTCAGAATCTAAACCGATAAGTATAAAAACACTTAGCAACATGATATTTCTGTTCTTTTATTTCATGTCAGTCGGGAAGTATACCTTCACGTGTAAGAACACGAACAAAACGGCTTCCGCAATGGAAAATATGAATCACTGTCACATTTAACAAGAAACGCTGCAGTTGGGTCCACGGCCACAGCACGATCTGCACATGTTACGTCTTTCAAATGGTTACTGAAATAGTTGACCAAACAATCCTTTTGTGAGACTTGAGGTTTTGAAAGCAGTGAGGATGATGTTCTGGGTTTTGGCGCCGTGCAGATTATGTACTGTGGACATGGGCCTACCTGCAGCTTTTCTTGTTAAATGTGACAGTGAATCATAATTTTCATTGCGAGA